CTTGCTCCGTTTCGTCATTTGAACTCATGAAATGGTAAATTGTGTCGTAATGTCAAGCTGTGAGGGTTTTAATCACCACCATCACAAATTTGGTTGTTTTATACTTACTCGACAAACTCAGTTATACATATTCGATTTCTATTTAGATTGTTTGTGCTCTAGCTATTATTCCGGTAGTCCATAGTTTTGTACATGTCTAATATCACTGTTCTTGATCTTTAGGATTCAATTCAGACCATTTACCCTCTAGGTATTATTATGTTTGTGAATGTTGACTATGGTTGATCTTTAGGCTCCAATTCTGATCTTTTACCCTCTAGCTTATGTTGGTTATTCTTTTTCTGACATAATGATGTAAGTTAATGATTGTTCAGGAAGGTTTTATGTAAATGATCATGCAGAATTGACTTAAGTTAATATAAGATTAGCAAAGTTGTTTATAAAAGATCATTTGTAAGATAATATATGTGATTCTTATGATAAATTACTCTCTTCTCTTTGACACAAATTCCTTGTCTCTGTCTTCAAGGAACAATAAACTGTTACTATCGCTATATCGGGTTTTAGTTTAGACAAACCAATATATTGCACACTGTCTTCATCTTCTGATATAACCACTTCGTTTTTATGCTTCAACTTTCAGAATCATTTCCAAAGATGTCACCCATTTTTGCTTTTAATTTCTTTTGGCATTTATGTGAATGAATCTCGTAATATTATATTATGTACTTATTCTAATGGCCATATGTTACTATTTTGGCAGTCATCCTTGAATCAAGATGAACCAGTGGATATCTACAACTTCCTCAACATTGTCTGTAGTAGTACGAATGAGGAAGACAGGATTCCAGGTTCTTTGGGCATGGAAGTGGACGATCTTATTCCAGTGGATGAGATTGATGACTGGAACTTGTCCCCCGACCGGACTGGTACCGAGAAGCCCAAATTTGAAGACAGTTTGGAACTTGAGGCTATGGACCAAGATGATGCTAGTTGGGATGTGGGTACTGTGAAGGAGCAGTCTTTTGGATGGGGAGCAGCTGCAACTAGAACCCAAGAAGAATTTGGCAATTCTGGCTGGGACAATTCTAGCTGGCAGACAAAGAAGAAACCAGAATTTGACAAGCCTGGCTCAGTTTGGACTGTAAATGCCCAAGAGGAAACTGAGAATCAGGGGCAGCTGCCACCAGAAGACCCCTAGAAGATTTTGACAATTCTGGCTGGGATAAACCTGTTGCTTGCCAAACAAAGAACAAAGCATCTGACAAGTCTGTTCCTGATTGGAATGTGGAAACAGCTAAACCCCGAGAAGAGCTTGACAGTCAACAGTCCTTTGGATGGGGAGCAGGTGCCACCAGAACAATCCAAGAAGAATCTGACTATTCTGAGTGGGATAAACCAGCTGCTTCGCAGACAGTGAAAAAACCAGAAGTCGACAATTCTGGATGGGAAGCAGCTGCGACCAGAACCCATGAAGGATCTGGCAATTCTGGGTGGGATAAACCTGCTACTCAGTAGACAAAGAAGAAACCTGAATTTGACAAGCCTGGTTCAGATTGGTCTGCAGATACATCTAAACCGTGGGAGGAACCTGAAAATCAAGAGTCCTCTGGGTGGGGAACAACTATTGAGCTAGCAGATAAAAGGACCTCCCAGGATGGACACTCGGATGGCTGGGGCTCATCAGTTTTGAAGAAAAATCTGTCTGGCGGCTCAAGTGATTGGGCTAGCAATAGGTCTGGAGGCTCAAGAGGTTGGGGAGCTGTTAGTAAGGATGATGGTGGCGCTGTAGCAGATGAAAAGACCTCTCAGGATGAATGTTCTCATGCCTGGGGATCAATAGATTTCAAGAAAAATCGGTCTGAAGGCTCTAGAAGTTGGGTAAAAACTCCTGACTGGAAACTAAAGAAGAATAACCCTCCTAAATCTCCAGGTATTGGGAGTGAGGATTTTAGCATGGGTCCATTGTTCACGGCTACCAGGCATCGGGTGGAACAGTTCAATATTGAAGAGCAAGACATTCTTGCAGTTGTTGAGCCGTCGATGCTATCCATCCGAAGAATCATGCATAATACTGGGTAAGTGTTCATATCTTTGGGTGTTTTGTACAGTTTGAATTAATAGTAGTATGATGGTAAATTCGCAAGTAAGATAGAAAGTATATAGGTAGTTTTGTGCATAAGCATTATTTGGATGGTGTCAAGCAAAATGTTTAACTACTATTTGCCCCAGATATTCTGTGCATCTATATGTGCATTGAAAAATTACTGAAAAAGTATATGATAAGGTACAACGACGGGGATCCATTATCCGCTGATGATCAGGCATACGTTGTAGAAAGCGTCTTCAGTTACCATCCTGACAAAGCAGTAAAGACGGGTGCTGGCATCGATTACATCACTGTATGTGCTCTGGGCCACACCTTTTACAATTTTTACATTTATATGTAGTGTGTTCTTAGGTTATCATTAGATATAAGAAACATTATGTGTTTTGTGCCACTATCATTACTTGTTCACTTCTTTTACATGAAATATGTCATAGTATATGATGGCAGTGGCTAACTTCCATTTAGAAGATCACTATCTGGCAATCAAGTTTGATGGATTGGGGGTACAGGATCTTAGGTTCTCATTAGATATAGTATATTTTCTGCTTGCTGTGCTACTGACCAATGACCATAGTCATGGAAAGTACTCGTGTTTGTGTTGCTTGAGCTCAATTCATCTCGGCTGGGTAATGGCGTACAGAGTAATGCTTCAGAAAATTGGGAGGGTTTGGCAATGAAAAGTGGAAGACCTGGCTTTTAATTCTAGCATCTTCTATTCTGAACTTTACAATGCCCATTCCCTTCTTGTGTTTCATTCCTGGCTTGTTCCCAATAGATTTAAGTGAAGTTTGATCTTTCCTCTTAGTAGTGAACAATTAGTTCTCCCTTGTCAATTTGTAAAAAATTTGGGTACTTAATTCAACAGGTTAGCAAGCACACTAGCTTTCAGGACAGCAGATGCTTCTTTGTAGTCTCCACGGTGGATCGAGGCAGGACTTCTCGTACCGCAAGTGTGTGGAGAACTATGTAAGAGATAAGTTCCCAAGTCTTGCTGACGAGTTCAATGGCAAGTACTTTGCCAGACGCACAGGTGGAGGGAATCGGCAGAGGAGGCCCGAGTCACCTTCTGTTCTAGCCAGCAACCCAGAGACTCCTGGATATGGCAATAGCCCTGTCCCGTAACTTCATGCTGAAGACTAAAGAGACAAGCTGATTTTGCGTGGGTCGTTGTAGAGGCGTCGTTGTAGAGGCGTACGAATTCATCTGCTTTGATTTTCTGTATAGAAGGCAGGTGAATTTCTTTCTGATGTGGATACACTCTCACCAGAAGGCTTCCTTAATGGCCGCTTCTCCCATACGGGCGAGTAGATCTAATTGTTTTGGCCTGTTAATAGCTTGCGTAGCTTAGCAGCAGCTTGTACTGGTAGTCTTAACTCTAACAAGGAAGATGCAGCTCATCTCTTTTGACTGTTGGAGTGTCCATACTCAATACTCCATATACATTAATCATTATATAGTTAAATGTCTGGGCTCTCTCCCTCCCTCTCCCTTACATATATATGCTCATGACATATGGTAACGAGATGAACCCCACCTGGTAGTTGCAGGTATAAATTGACAGCTCCAACGGCGGATAACGTATCCAACGGCTTCCATGGCTCCCACATAGGGCTTTATTCCTGGAGATCTGGTTCTGACATAGGGCTGCAGTTGTGGTGGTACTGCCACTGCAGTTCGTCTTGTTCATAGCATGAGAACTGGACATCGTTAACGTGTTGAAATGGCGGAGACATAATCAAAGCAGTGATATAACCACTAACATTTTCGCTTTAACGTACGCCTCTGAAAACAGAGGTTTGTCCACTAAATACAAAGGGGTCGTTTGGAGGTTGGGATTTCAAGCGATGTATTCACCCAATACATGTAATGTCAAGATAGTCTCTTTTGGTTAATTTTGTGACATAATACATGTATTACTTTTTTCCCGGGCCCACCTACAATCACTCATTTGAGTGATTATCAATCTCTAGTTCTCTACCAAAAGGTGATATTGTGACAAATGGATTGTATATCATCTATTTTTTCATTTGTAACAAAACACAATCCAAACAAGGTATTTTACAAATTCATACATTTCATCAATACATCAAATTACAATATACAAATTGATTAAATACTTCAATTTGGAGAATCCCAACTTCCAAACGACCTCAAAGAAACAAGGGTAAATACAATATATTAGCTAACTATTATGAAGCGGGGAATTATAGCCACAACTATGGAAATTCAAATTATTAGCCAAACGTTAACTTTCTGTTAACAATTTCATTAGTAATGCTGATTAAACTTTTATGTTTTAAAGTTATAAATTAAAAACAGTCCGACGTGGCTGCTGCCGTGGTCGATGACGTGGCCTTCCGTTAAAAAGTCAATATTGGTAACAGACAGTTAGCCATATCTTGACCCGCAACTATAGTTATGACTAATAATTTGAATTAACATGGGGTCGTTTGGATGGATCGATCTAGAAATGAGTCAATTTGATCAATTGTCTCGTTTTATAAACGAGACAATTGAAACGAGTCAATTCGAATTACCTGCCCCCACCCCAGGTAATTGAAATTGACTCAAAATGTATCAATTCAAAATACCTCAGGCAGATTGATCCATCCAAATTTTTTGTTGGTAAACGAGACAATTTGGTACAATTGTCTCAAAACGAGACAATTGTGTCAAATTGATCCGTTACAATTCCTCATCCAAACGACCCCATAATTGTGGCTATAATTCTCCGCTTCATAATAGTTGTAACTAATATATTCTATATTGTATGGCCAAGAAACAATTAAACAAACCACATATTCATTCGGTTCAGAAACCGAACAGAGGAAATGAACCGACCCGGTTTCATCTCTTTCCGGGCGGCAAACGTTCAGGCCTTCAGGGTGCGTGCGTGGGCGGAATGAGAATTCAGAAGGAAGAACTACTGTTGAACTAAGAGGGTAAGATCAGACGATGAAGACGACGGCCGCGGCGGCAGAGCTGCAGATGGAGGAAGAGATCAGAGAGGCGAGCGAAAGGTGCAAGAGAGTGATAGAGAGAGTCGCAAGACTACCCGCCAGCACAAACATCACCGATTCCTGCCGACGGACTCTTCTGAAACTAGCCAACTCAGAACTCAACTTCCTCTCTCGCTCCTCGGCTAGTCTCGCTACGTCCCCTAATCCACCGCTCAGGTTCTTCCTCTCACTCCCTTTTGCGCTTTCATTTCTTTCAATTTGCGCCGCCCTGCAATACCCGTTGCCGATGAACGAAAAAACCCCTAATTAGATGTTCGTTTTGTATTGTTGATTCACTTTGTCTGGCAGCGTTAACATTGGACACATAGAAGCCGTGGTTTACATTCTTGAGCAGCCTTTCGTTACTGGAGTTTCAAGGGTTTGCAAGAGAGTCTCTCTGTTACCAATTGGAATTAGGAATGGGAATCACGAGGATGAAACTGATTGTGGTTCGTCAATATCTTCTAGTGTACATGTTGATATAGTCTGCACGCTCAATAAAAGACCTGTGTGGATCGTTGTCTCGGATAGGAACCCTATGTATGTGTATTGGCATGGCTACCGCAAAGGTAAAGGCTTGAAATTGAGGATTGAACAAGTCATTGCTGCAGCTCGGTCTACTGAGATGATGAGGCCTCTGTCAATTATCCTCTTCTTCCCTCGTGGAGTTGGCGATTCTGTCCGCCAGAAACTTCAGGATGAGTTTGGGGCTTCTAAGTTTGAGTTTCAGTTGTCTGGATTTTATTCTCATTTCAGTGAAGAGGTAGTAGAGGGTGGGTGGATAAATGTGTTGACGGGATCGTATCGTGAAGCATCTATCTTCGAGATAAAGCTGGACACTGATGCTGTTGGAGTTCCAAGATCAGGATCTGGACTTAGTGCATATACAGTTTCGGATAATCAAGATCGGAGTCTGAAACTAAACACAGACGATACCTTTTGTTCGATTGTCTCAGGAATGAGAACATGGCCTCCAGAAACTAGGGCTAAGGATTTGTCTGATCCTGAGGTTTTGCAAGGCATTGATGAGCTTTTGAATTTTGGTACTACAGCACTGGTTGCTATTGTCTCTGGAATAAGCAATGGGTGTGCAGAGAAGCTTTTGGCTGCGCCAGAATGTGAATTGCAACAGCAGTTTAAGGGGAACACCGAGTTCGTGATTGGACAGGTATAGCTCTTCGTTCTTTTGTCTTTTTCATTTTTGTGTATTGAGATTTTTGGCATTCTTTCACTCCTGGGTACTGCTAGTTAGTTGGAGCATGGAATGAATGAACGAAAGCCTGGAGAAGTAGGTATGAAAATTTCAGCTAGATATCTTTGTTCAATGTCTTGTCAGGTTATGTCTGAAATCGAGAATCCATTGCTTGCTGAACTGGTCCCTGTAGTATCGGGGAAACGGGGCATAGTATGCAGCAGCGTGCTCGCACAATTCAAAGAATTGGTATCAATGTTTGGAGGGACAAACGAGAAGTTAAGAGCCGATAAATTGCTGGAACGCCTCTTGTAAGTTACAGATCTCTCATCTCTTTCCCTTTCCATCTTTTCTATGAACCAAGTCTGGCTAACCTGCCATAAAAAAGTACTTCGAAACTTTGAACAACTACTTGACGCCGAACTCTGTAGTTTCTCCTCAATGCACCTACACTGTGTACCACGAATGCACTAATTTCTTTTGTAACGGAACAGGGTTATCCCTGACAGTCCATCAGGGCGAATGATGAGCCTGCCAACGACGAGGAAGCTAGATTTGAAGAGCAAGATTGTGTTTGGGACTGGTGATAGTTGGCGTGCTCCGACGTTAACGGCGAATATGGGGTTCGTTCGAGCTGTGTCTCAGACTGGAATGTCCCTGTTCACCATCCCGCATAGGCCTAGGGCATTAATAGGTGATTAGAAATGTGGTTTGTTGCAGCTCTCTGTACATAACTTGCAAAACGAGAAGTCCTGTTTTTTCAGTCTGAACTCTGATTTGTTTCATGTTATTATATGATTGTGCTTTTGATTTGATTCACGTTAGTCCAGTAGATCAAAAGGCAGCGATTAGTTAGGAATTGGAAGTTGTTTGTTTACCCACCAAATTTGTAGTCGGCAACTTATATTTGTTGTTTACTTACTAGCATGAATAACAGGAAACAGTGAACTTGGTAGGTTAAGATGTGGTCGGCTGCGCACCAAATCCAGTTTTTTTGGGGGAGATTATATGCAAGTTTTGTGTAGTCCACCAAAGTATATAAATAGAGCTGGCAAATTACAACCCGACCTGTTGGCCCGACCCAAACCCGTCCAAAAACTAGAAATTTTTGTAACCCGAAATCCGAATGACCCGAACCCGATAATCCGTGATTTTTTGGGTTGGGTTGGTTAGCGGGTCGACCCGTTACACCCGTTCCATTTAATATATTACTCCTAAAATATGATAAAATCACTCATAAATTGGTGAGATGTTTAAAAAAATCACAAGGATTTCAATGACATGTTTGGAGTTTAAGGATAATCAAATATCATGTGTTTCTTGTAGTAGTATTACTCTTGTGATTGTTTTTTGACGATTTGCGCAATTTATATTTCATTTCATTAGAGTGGGAGGATTTGAGAATATGTTAATTGACATGTATTAGGTAAACTATTGTCATGAATATTTGAATATATGTGTTCTTTAAGAAAATATGAAGCATGTTTGATATTGTTTCTGAGAGCGCTCATAACCCGAAATGACCTATAACCCGACCCGAAACCGAATGAGTTGGGTCAATATTTGACCCAAAATAAGCCAACCAAACATGACCCGACCCATAAACGAAGTTCACAACCCAAAATTACCCAACCCGACCCGATTGTCAGGTCTATATATTAACATGAATACCATTTTGGCAGAATAACCCATTTGGCTTCACAATTCTCCAACTCGATATTATAGAATACAAGATAGAGAGCTCAATTTGATTCGACTTTCAGTGGGTTTGTTGATGGTTCATTTGGTTTAATATTTACAAAATGTGTCTAATTCATTAGTTTTAATGTATGTTGATTATTATTAAAAAAAATATGGTTTTACACAAGAAATCTCATATCTTAACGTATGAACCGGCGTTTTTTACTTAAAAATTTCATTGAGATTGATTACTTGTGACAGAATTTGTTGAGCATTAACTCAGCCTTAACACATTGCGATCCCAGATAAAATTAGTTCAAAGATCATGGGATCCTTTTTTATATATAACATTCAATTTTGTTTCCAACTTTCTGTTGCTTAGGTTGAATCTACAAGTTAACCTCAAAACAATTTGACTCTAATACGTCAATTAACTATCAAGATTCCAAAAACCGGCAAACCTCATAGTAAGAGCATTTGAACATGAACCGTATCAGCTTCAAACTAATTAATCTAACAACCTAAAGAGAAACAATAATATACATCCAACTCATCATATATAAGTACAAAGTTAGTATAATAATTGCCATTAATACTCGGTAAATTCATAAAAGCAAGTTATTGGAGTTTATAGTCCAATCAACTCTATATTTATGTATAAATTTAAACCTCCCAAATTAGAAAAAAAAAAAACAGAAACATAATAAAAACAAATACCATGCCAACATAATTATATTAAACATAACAGATGCAGTTTAAAAATTAATTTACAAAAATGTATCTCCTAGAACTAAAAAAATAATAATACAAAAGAATCAGAAAATAAGCTTAAAATTTTGGAACAAGGAAATCAATGCATAAAATGAAGCAACCCAACTAAATTTAAAAATCCAAAATAAAATATAAAAAAAATCCCCTCCTGTAATTCATTCATTCAAAGCTTCAACTTGAATTTGCAATCACTGGCTTGGATCCGTATCTTACTACTGGAACTCAAGCTATCCACAACCAGCAAACACTTCCCCAACACCTTCACCTTCCTCATCTTCAACGCGCCCAGCTTCACCGCCACCGGCGCGTGTATCCTCAGCTCCAACGGAATCCTCCCCGTGGCCTGCTGCTGCTGGATCGCCGACATCACCGCGCTCCCGTACTGGTTCCTCCCCGCCAGCGCCACGTGGAGCCTGGTGACGTTGCGGTGTCCCTGATAAAACCTCGGGATGGGCCCCACGCAGAGGCTGGTCCCCTGATACCACACGCTAATTAACCCGCCTTTCTCGTAGTAGATCCCGATTTTGTCGTTGGGGTTGTCGGCGGTGACCCGGACGTCGAATTTGGCGGTGAGGGAGAGGTCCATGTTGAGCGTGAGGTCGGTGATGCGGAGGCTGTCGACGGAGTAGTTGGGGACTTTGGGCTTGAATATGAGGTAGATGGCGCCGACGGTGGCGGCGAGGACGATGGTGAGGAGGAGGAGGATGGCGAGCGTCCAGCACACGCACTTGCATGGGCTGCAGCAGCTACGTTTGGGTTTCTTTAGCAGGTTGGCTCCGGCGGCTAGTGGCGGCGGGGGAGGGGGGCGAATTGGGGGAGGGTGGGTGGGTGGCCGCCACGTGGCGGTGGAGATGGGTTTCTGGTTGGGGCGAGCTGGCGGTGGTTGTTGTGACTCCACGTCGGCCGCCGGGGATGGGTGGATTCTCTGGTACTGAGCTTCATGAGCCGCCATACTCTTTTCTTCTTCCTCCTCGGCATTGGTTTTTCGTTTTTATTAGGTCTATATATAATGTAATGAGTCGGGTTAATTAGTTGACTTTTTGAAGTTCCTCCTTGCAATTATTTATGGTTTTGTTTTGTTGTTGAAATGTCGATTCTTTGATCTTCGTGATTTGAATATGTAGATGACACAAACACACACACCACCGGTTCCTGACCTAACCAGTTTAAGAAAGAATAAAAACATGCCTTTACGGAATTGGGAATGGAGAGGGTGGTAGTTCAGCTAAGCTAAGTAACAAGCTAACAGCAATTGTAATTAGTCAACATAAAAGGACCTATATATGTGCCAAGTGGTGTATATGCTATACGGCTCCTACGAGGCAAGTTGTTCACGCACCGGCTCAAAGTTATATTTACGGTAGCATTTCGACCATTTTTCCAACAAGATATTGTCTGGATTTGCGTTTAAATTTTCACGAATTTTGCCTTGGAGTGCATATCAAGGAGACTCTCCATAGGAGGATCACACATCCTTGTAATGCTACACAGTGAGCACATTTAATTCCGAAGTTCTTATATGGACTCTTCCGTTACGTCCTAAAACCCATATTGTTAGTTAAATTCAATTTCTTACTTATAAATTATGAATCTCAAATATTCACTTACTAAAACACATATTATTAGTTAAGTTCAATTTCTTACTTATAAATTATGAATCTCTAATATTCACTTAAGGTGATCTACATCTAGGGCTCTGCGCAACTTTCGGAAGGCTAATTTAGGAATTATACATATTCCATTATTGTTCGTTTTTCCCTCTCTCTACATAGACTGATTTATGTTAATTGGGCCGGGCCCATGTTATGAAAGGTGAAAATGCATGTGTTTTTAGGTGGACTATTACGTAATTAGTGTCATTCATGGCACACTATATCACTATATTTTTTATACAGTATAAATAAAGTGTGGACTAAAAATAAACTTTTCATTCATTTATATCCTATTAAAACTAAATTAAAGAAGAAAATTATTATTATTTTTATATAGAGAAACTAACATGATAAATCACTAAGAATTTCTATATTAAACTTGAAATTATTTATATGCTATAGAAGGTGTCACATGTCATGTCACGTTACATAAAATACAATAGACATTAAGTAATGGTTAGATATCATGTGCTTAGAGATGACAAATGGGTGGAGCGGGGCGAGTATGGGTCTTATTATCATTATTCAAATGGGGTTAAGGATACATCTTTATATTCTTAAACGATGAAGGTACTTCTCTGAAAGTTCGACATGTAATCTTTATGTATCATCGGGATCGAAGGATTGTCAATAAACTTAAACACGTTGACAAGCCTAAACGTAACTTAAAAATATAAATAATCAAATATGAGCATTCCGGACAACGGGTTGGGTCATGTTAGATAATAACCGTGCGGGTACGGGGCGTGACGGGTCGACCCTTTCTCACTTGTTATCTGAAGAAAATAAATGCAAAAAATATTTCCTTAGGTAACGCTTCTAATTTAACAGTTACATAAGAAAACAAACGTTCATTAACCTTTACGTAATTAACGTGTATTTTACGTAACTATTGTAAAGTGCCATTACGTACGAAAGCCTTAAGTAATGTATGGATATTTTACGTAATTATCATTAACCGCGTGTTATGTAAAGTACTAAGTCATTATAGAAGGCTTACATAATGATTATAATTAAATTGTTACGTAAGAAGTAACTATCATTCTATAACCTTTCACGTAATGAATGTGTACTTTATGTAATAGTTGTATAATATCATTACGGAAGCCTTACATAATTGAAGATCATTTATGTAATACGCAAGTCTTTCGTAACGCTTCTAATTTAATTGTTAAGTCAATAGTCAATACACAAGTATTTCGTAACGCTTCTAATTTAATTGTTGAGTAATATATACTGTCATTTCATAACCTTTTTGTAATGGATGTGTATTTTACATAAGAGTTGTAAAGTGACATTATGGAAGAAATAGAAAAATGGATATAATTTTGTAGATCGCAATGAACTTTTCATATGTGCAAAATAAATAAATAATCAAGTTAAAACAAAAAATATACAAGTAAATTAAAAAATAGAAAAAATAAAAATATTAATCTCAACCCTAAGATCTACCCTCATTCAAAATTAAGAAGTCAATTTCTATTATACACAAAATATAAATCAAGAGTTATGTGCACTATGTTAGACTAGATGGAAGTAGTGTTATGTAACACTGTATTTTCCTTATGCGCCATCCTAGGATTTGGATATTTTAGCAATACTGGCTGGTATGATCTTCGATTTATTGAGGTCAATAGATTAGAGTTAAAAGAGTTTATTTGGGTTGGTAGAGTCAAAGTATTTGTTTATTTACACAACAAAAAAATTATTTATTTATGACTATTAGTGTGTAGAGTATAGTTGGGTTTCTGGTAGTTTTATTAACATTTTGGATTTGATTTGGAGGAAAATTGTACAAAATTAAGAGGCTAAGACCATGGTAGTGTCAAAGTGTTAGGCCAAGTCCAATGCAAAACCACAGATTTGGGAGCCTTCATCCCCAAATTTGGGGATTGATCCCCATTTTCCCTTCTTTTGCTCCAATGCTTTAATCTCCATATTTGGGGATTTTCATTTTTCTAGTTTTTCAATTTACTTAAAAATATACTTATCATAGCCTTAATATAATTTGTTCATGTTAATTATTGTATAGTTCGTCATCATTTTTAAATGCAAATTTTTTGATAGAATTTTATGAAATTCCGAGTCCGAATTTTTTTGGCAAAAAATTGTGTATCTAATTTGGGTTTACACACAACACTTAAAAATGATTGATCTAATTAAATCCCTAACTAATCCCCTAACTAAATCCCCAATTAACTCCTAAAATCTTAAAAGGAAAGGAAAAGCCACGTGGCGGACTTTGGTGAGTCTCTATATTTGGGGGATCCCCTATTTCCATCCCTAAATTTGGGGTTTCATTTGCAGGCTGCTCCATTTTTGGCGCCCCAAACCTCCCCAATGGACCATCTCATCCTTCATTTTTGCAGATTCCCCCATAAATGGGGTGCCCATTGGACTCAGCCTTAGAGTTAGTTTGGCTTTTCCGTACTCAACAGGGGGTTTCCTCCAATGAAGTGCTAAAGAGCAGGATTTTCATTTTTGGATTAATGTAGTTTAGTGTAGATTTCATAATTTGAATTAGATAATTTTTAAATTACTTTTATAAACATAGTAATAATTAGTTAAGACGAATATTTTGATATAATTACTTTTAATTTTGACATTAAATTTTTTTATCGTTAAATATGACGTTGTTAATGACGAAACATAATAACTGGTTCAGATTGACTTGTATGATCATTTGCTTATCCAAATTCGACATTGATAAAATTGGAAAATAAATTTGTCATTAAATATAACGTTATCAATGAAGAAAACACAATAGTCGGTGAATAATTTGATGAAGAAAGCAGATGCAAAATCACTTATCACTACTTAAATCCTGTCTCTTTAAATAAATACAATAATTATAACCAGTTACACTACACAAATTTTTTGTATTATTTTGAATACAAAACATACACAAAGTTAAACTCTAAAAGTGAAGGACTTTTTCATCATGATTAGTTAGCCGAGTAACTCTACTGTAAGTATTTTTATGGTGCTTGATACTTCGATTTTCATAGTATAGTTTCATGTAGTTTCTTACATTTTAAAATCCTTGCTCTCTCCTTAATTTTGATAAGGGTAAATGGTAAGTGACTAACATGGAAGAATTTTTTATTTACTATGTGTTGTGTTTGCTTTTTTTTAATTTCAATATTTAGTTTTGTCTTTTTCATCTTTGTTCTAATCCCTTTCCAATTTTCTTTGTAATCTCCTCCATCGTGCAATAGTTTCTGCCACTTTCACTTCCCTGTACAAGGCTGCCTTTGAACATCAATCTTTTAGTATTTTTTGACATTTTGATTTGATTGGGGATTGAAGCTGAACAAGTAGAAGACTTCAACTTCAATATCAATCCATGGCGAATAAGATGGAGTTCAATCAAGTAATTGTGGTCTGGCCTCTATGTCTCATGGTTTTATGCTTCTGATTGATAATAAAAATGAATTTTATTTTCACGTTGTCTCATGAGCAAAATATGCAGAAGATCTATTCTTTTGATCCTATTTCCTGATATGATGTTTGAAGTCCGGTAGATCTCTTGTGTCATTGCTCTTCTTTCTGTTCTTAGGCTTTAACTTCAATGAGTTTTCTATCTTCATGGAAGGTTCATCGAATTGAACTGATAGGCTATCATTTCCTTACAGGTTTTTCTAAGTTTGTTGTTTGTGATTTATTTATAAAATAAAGTAAGGAATTTTTTTGGTGATTGGGGTGCTAGATTTGTTTGAAATCGGGGATTTTTGTGAACGAGGCAATAGTAATTTCCAACCGCCCTTGTCAACTTTCTTGTATAGAGAAACTAACATGATAAATCACTAAGAATTTCTATATTAAACTTGAAATTATTTATATGCTATAGCAGGTGTCACATGTCACGTTACATAAAATACAATAGACATTAAGTAATGGTGAGATATCATGTGCTTAGAGATGGCAAACGGGTGGAGCGAGGCGAGTATGGGTCTTATTATCATTATTCAAATGGGGTTAAGGATACATCTTTATATTCTTAAACGATGAAGGTACTTCTCCGAATGTTCGACATGTAATCTTTATGTATCATCGGGATCGAAGGATTATCAATAAACTTTAACACGTTGACAAGCCTAAACTTAACGTAAAAATATAAATAATCGAATATGAGCATTCCGACCAACGGGTTGGGTCATGTTACGGGTACGGGGCGTGATGGGTCGACCCATTCTCACTTGGTATCTGAAGAAAATAAATGCAAAAAATAATTCCTTAGGTAACGCTTCTAATTTAACAGTTACATAAGAAAACAAGCGTTCATTAACCTTTACGTAATTAACATGTATTTTATGTAACTATTTT